GGAATTCAGCGAATAATAATGCACGGGAAGGAGGATTTCGTGCCATTCAAATTGTCATCTCGATTTCGTTCCGCGTATTATTCTCGTCCGAAGAGGATTTCAAGCATTTTTATGTATGCAGAGGGTCCTTGAAAACAATCTTCCAACAACTAGATTATACGTAGAAACTATTTTATTTTTCATTTCCTTTCCACGACTTCTTGGTCTTCGGCTTTGCAAAAGCAGCACGCGTTTGGACAATATTGCATTCTTCGTGTCCGAAAGCAACATTACTTTATCTAAACCAGTGTTTTTTTTTCGTTGTTTTCATTGACGAATTCCAAATTCTGTTGGATTTGACCTGAATCGTCGGCCGGTCTAGAATGTAAACACGCGTAAAATTAGACCCGAAATATTTGCATTTCAAATTCATTCAAAAATCAAATTAAGTAAAAAATACATTATAATCGCTTAGTTTCGATCAGTCCGGATTCACTACAGTACGGTTTTATTGTTTCAAAACAAACTAAATTTTAATTGAATAAAGTAATTGGTTTTCCAAGTCTTCTTGCACGGTTTATTATTTAGTTCCTCGATTAGTCCGGTTTGAAACAATGATGGAATCGATTCAGCACTATGCGAGGTATTGTTGTAGTTAATGCGAGCGCAAAGTCCATAAATTTATTAGTAATATCTTTATAATTGTATACATTTTATACCTGTTATTCTAATTTTGTTTCATAAATTCACTTTTAACTGTAGTAATTAATACTTAAATATTGTTTGTTACATAAAATTTTTATGAATCAATTTATGAAACAGAAAAATTGTGAATAACAAAAATTTATACAAAAATATCGTATTAATCTGAGAACATAAAGAAATATTAGCATTCAGAAACTTCCATCGATTAAGTGAATAATTCTCCGTTGCTATGGAAGTAAATCCGAGCGCAAAGTCCAACAATTTGTTTATTCAAATTCTAACGATTTGCAGTAATCGCGATATCGATTTAGCATTGTTGCTAAATCGATTATGAATGAAATTTTACTTGAAAATTCAACTTATTTTTTTTTCTTTACACAATTTTGCAATCTTGACCTGTGATGCACTCAGATTAAGTGCCAAAGCCATCTGAAGACGCTTAATTTACATTAAATCGATTTAGAAGAAAAAAAATAGATCAAGGTCGTGTCGATTCCTGTATTCACAGGTCACTTGCAAAAGTCAATTTTCTTAATTTTTTTTATAATTTTCACGATAAGATTAACTTATTTTTTTTTTGTTTGTTTTAGGTGAGTCTTCTTCCAAAGTTAATCTGTCATCATCTTCCATTTCGAAAGAGTTACAGTAAGTTTATCTATTATTTGCGCGATGAGCGAACAGTGTAATTCGCTAATTGTTAGATAACGAAATCAAATTTCCAAGGTTTTCGCATCGGATTTTCGCGTGGATAAAAATGTTTGTATATGTGTGTAATATATTTAAATGCCAGTCGGTCGGTTTAATTGTGCGAATGGCATTGGGTAAACGTGTAAACAACACAAAGAATTTTACACTATTCAAAAGCTTTTTCCTGGCGACGCTTCAAAAAATCTTCTCTACACATTTCATTTTCTTGTAATTCTGTAATAAAATCGTGTTAAAAAACAAAATTATAAAAAAAAAATTCAATTAACATATTGTAAAGTTGTTTATGTTATAAATATGTTTACTTATATTTCTGAAAATATTCAATTAACTATTTCTACGCATTAACATTTAACGAGTAAATGTATCATTTTTTTTGTAATGAATGTTTCGAATAGATGAATTTGATTTCAATAAATTAATTGATTTGTATTGAATTTCGAATTTAAACTAACATCATTTGCTTTCACGTTTGACACAAGTATGTGTCATCTGTCACCATTAATATTATCCATGAAATATTTCTTTTTTTTGATGTTTTTATTCTTTATTATGAAACTCTCATTCATGCTTGTTTTGTGGGCATGCAGACAGAAGAAATGGACGAGTCTGGCTGGGGTCCGGTAAAAGAGGCGCTCCATAATGATGCTGGCTGAAAAATGATGAAATATGAGTGTTGTCACGGTAGATTATAGTTATTTTTCAAACGGCCTTCGTCTTCAGCAGGCGTCGAGGCCAGATTTTCTTTTCTCTTCAAATTTGTCTTCAACAAAAAAAAAATTAACACTTTACTTCAAGAATATTTATAACTAAAAGGTTTATAACTAAATTATTATACAATTACGCCTCCTGATTTTCAGGTTTTAAGTGTCTTTGCACGAACATTTTCAGACAATTAGAAACTTTATTCTCCGAGAAACGATTTTCAAATTTTGTTTCCTTAAACAATTTTTTTACTAAATTTTTAACACTTTTCTTCAAGAAGAATATAAACTGTTTGTACGTTTGACAATACAAAAAGGATCATTACTTTACTCCTGACATTGAAATCACATTTTGTTCTTTAAATGTGTCTTCTACAAACATTTCTTTTTAGAAGATTTTTAACACTTTTCTTAAAGTAAAAACTCGAAATTACAATTAGCATTTAATTATTGCGCTACGCTTACATAATGCAAACATATTTCAATCATCTTAAAGTGTTGAGGACACTTTTTTTTTAATTTGACACATTTCGCTTTGCAATTAAATTACAATTAACATTTGATTAATGCGTTACGCAATTCATTTTTTTTAATTCGATGTAATAAACTAATGACTCCGTTTTCTATTGGTTTCTTCCTTTGTCTCCCCGATGCAATTGGATGCAATCGCGCAACTTTAATTAGGAAATGAGTAATTCACCTTCTTCTCGTCCTGGCTTTTCAAGAGCGTCTCTTTTAAAATATTCTTTTTTTTTTCTGGTACTTTCTCTTCGAAAACCAAACATGTTTCAGACTGAATAAACATTCGTCAACTCTCCGCTTTATCTTTCCTACAAAAATAACAAACGAATGGTGAGGATAGATTTGATGGATCGATCATATAGACTGTCTGCGTTTTTATGACTTAACTTGATTTATTTGTGCGGAATGTTAAATGGGATCTTTAAACTCGACTTATCTACCCAAAAACACAGATACATATATCCATACAGCATTACTATTTATACCTTATCTACACGGAAACAACTTTTTCTGTTTTTGCTTTTCCTTCTTATCTTCATTTCTGAATTAATCTTTTCATAATTATACAAGTGCACATGACGTTCTGATGATATAACATTTTGATTCATTATTAATGTGCATTTGATTGTAGTAATTAAAGCTAAACCGATATGTTTTTCATAACAAAAATCCGGATTGATCGAAACCGGCCTATGCGAGGTAATGCTATATTTGTAATAAATCATCATAAATTAAGCTAATTGACGTAATCCGTTCAGAATTACATATTTATATACAGGCATTTGATGCAAATGGATTTTGGCAAATAATTTACATTAAAAAAAAAAGAAAATGAATTAAGAGCCAAAATGTATATTTGCCACTGTTTCTATGGTCTCTATACACGATTTCGCGCGTATGAAAATTTGATTGCAAATTGATGGATTTATTTCCTCCAAAAAAAAAATCCAATTTCCTAAAACCGTCACTATCTTCGCTCGCCTAGCGTCCATTATTGTATGTTCGAATTGCGTAACGTTGACAACCGTCGAAATTCGCATCCAATTGTTTTATATTGATAACAAAATCTCTACTGATCGATAAAAAAACTAAACCGTCGCGTAGCAACAAGGTTGTAATTGATAGTTTGATTAGTTCATTTAATAAATCGTCCTTGCAATCTAAAGTGTTGATAATGAACGAGAATTGCTGATAGAGTACAACATTGATTCATTGCAAAAACCCGAACATCGAATTTAAATGTTACAAAGTGATGTTTGCAACAAGTTTTTATTTTTTATTTGACCTGTAACTTCTACGGACAAATAAATGAAACTTGAATTTGAATAAATGAAAAATGTAAGAAATAACAATACTTTGTTTTTTGTTAAAACATTCAATAAATAATGAAAAATATGATAACTTTCATGAATATGAATACGAAAATTTCTTTGATTTTTTTTTTAAATTTAATTAGTTTTTTCCATTTAATTTGATTGAATTTTGATTGAATCGTTCTAAACATATGTTTTTGTTTTATATTAACGTTCATTTATAGTTACATAATTTTCAATAAACATTAAGTATTAGTTAGTATTAACCCTTTCCAGCCCAAATTTATTTTCAAAAAAAAATATTGTTTTATACAAATCTTTATAAAACTTAACATCTTACCTGTTTTTTTTTATTATTCAATATTACCTGCTATTAAAAATACATCTAGTTTCATTTTACATTAGTTGAATCCAAAAGTTTTAATCGTCGAAAGACAAAATTGCATTTAAAAATTAATTATCCCAATTAGAATCACTGGGTTAAAAGAAAATTGGAACATAAAGTGTTAAAAATTTTATTACACATTCGTTGAAAGTTTAATCTCTGCTCTATTTTAATATATTGTAAATAAAACCAAATGAGTAAATTTGAACGTGTTAATTAAAGTCTAAAAATACGTAATGTTTACTCGTTTATTAAATTTGCTAATGATAAAAAGATTTTTTTTAAATGAAGTTTTGATAGTAAATAATTAGTAAGCGTTTAATCTGTAAAGTAATTATAAAAAGTTCTGTTCTATTAATAGATTGAAATTTGTGACAATAAAATATTTTCACTTGAAGATACAAGGATTATGTTTATTTTTATGATCTTTGTGTGTATGTAAAATAGTTAGTAGCTATGGGATTTCGAAATCTTTTAGCATTAGTTTCGGTACGAGAATGTCTGAATTTTTTTTTTCTTCTTTTGAATCAATGCTTGAGGAGGAAATCGCGAAACCGAGCGTGAACGGTTCTCCTCCACCGTGCGGGTATTTGCGTGTACGAGAGAGATGGAGACTTTATGAAACGGTTAGGAGGTGCGAGCGAGTTGGAGGATAGTGTAGGATATAGGAGAGTGAGAAGGTAGTAAGAGTTTTATAACTGGATGTGTGCAAACATCATCGACGAGGTAAACAGTCCAAAGTCCACAGTTTGTTACCTACCCAGCGCTTCTAAACTAGTCCGCGCGCTCTGTGTGAGTCAGTCATGTAGGTACCACGTGCTCTCAGCCTCGGTCAAAGTCCAACACTCTCCATTCCTCTTTTTTTTTAACACACATACAAATACTTGTACACACACACACACTCTCTCGGCCAGAAATATACGTGAATGTGCACACACATATGGATGTGACATTCAGTCCATGTCTACTGCTGCCATGCTTTTATGCTATCTACGAAATTGGAGAAAATTAACTATTTATTCATTCCGCTCGTTCGTTATCTATTGTACTACCAATCCACAATACAAAAGTTGACTGGAATTAGATATGCGGCAGTTTGAGGAAACAACTGAATGCATTCGGTATTCCCAAACAACGCAAGCTGAGTTTTTTTTTGTAATATCGAGTAGTCATTAGATATACAGCATGCCTCGCATAGTGCTCTTTCAAATCGGACTAATCGAAGACTAAATATGTACATACAAAAACAGGAAAAAAACGATAATTTTTGTATAAAAAAATAGTTTTTACAATTTTACTTTGTATTGAAATTTTCAAAACTGGATTTTAGCGAATCAGGACTGATTGAAGCCGCACAATGCGAGGTATTACTTTAAATAAACCTATTCATTTTATGCAGTTAATACAAAATTTCGATTCAAATAAACCGATTTTATTATTCTGTAATTTGTGAATGCATTGAATATAGAAATAAGTAACATTTCTTTATTTATGAAATTAATAAACTTCTACCAATTTCGACTATTGTATTTGTCAATTCTTGCTTTGTTTTTTGTAGTCAATACAACAATACCTCGCATAATGCTGCTTTAAACCGGACTAATCGAGGACTAAATACATACATAAAAAGTGTCTGTTTAAAGAGAAAAAAAAACGATATTTTTTGTATAAAACAAAAACCTTTTACAATTTATTTGTATTTTGTTTAATTATAATTTTCAAAACCGGACTCTAGTGAATCAGGACTGATCGAAGCCGCACTATGCTAGGTATTCCTGTATTTGAAATAAACCTATTTATTTTATATAGTTAATGCGAAACTTCAATTCAAATCAACCTATTTTATTATGTAATTTGCGTATACAATGAATATTAGTAAGTAGAAAGAAATATTGTGTCATTATTTATGAAATTAATAAACTTCTACCAATTTCGACTATTATATTTGTCAATTCTTGCTTTGATTTTTTTGTAGTCAATACAACAATACCTCGCATAGTGCTGCTTTAAACCGGACTAATCGAGGACTAAATACATACATAAAAAGTGTCTGTTTAAAGAGAAAAAAAACGATAATTTTTGTATAAAACAAAAATCTTTTACAATTTATTTGTATTTTGTTTAATTATAATTTTCAAAACCGGACTCTAGTGAATCAGGACTGATCGAAGCCGCACTATGCGAGGTATTTCTGTATTTGAAATAAACCTATTTATTTTATACAGTTAATGCGAAACTTCAATTCAAATCAACCTATTTTATTATGTAATTTGCGTATACAATGAATATTAGTAAGTAGAAAGAAGTATTGTGTCATTATTTATGAAATTAATAAACTTCTACCAATTTCGACTATTATATTTGTCAATTCTTGCTTTGATTTTTTTGTAGTCAATACAACAATACCTCGCATAGTGCTGCTTTAAACCGGACTAATCGAGGACTAAATACATACATAAAAAGAGTCTGTTTAAAACAGGACTCTAGCGAATCTGGACTGATCTAAGCCGCACTATGCGAGGTATCGCGGTATTTGAAATAAACCTATTCATTTTATACAGTTAATACGAAACTTCGATTCAAATAAATAATTTCTAATAATAGACCTTTTCAAAGTAATAAAGTTTCATTAAAAAAAAAACAATAGTTTGAACTTTGTACATTAATAACAAAAACATCTAATTATATCAATTTGCAATGCCGATCATAATTATGCATATTAATCTAGTTATTCATTAATTTAAAAAAAAATCGTAATAATGATTATAATTATTTTTATTGCAACAATTACAGAAAATAATTGCGTGCAAATAGTATTTAGATAATAGAGATTAAATGAAAAGAAGTGTTATGTGGTTATGAAATAAATCATCTGCAGCTAAATTATTTACTTGCCAAGTAACATGTAAAGTGTATTCATTTGTCAAAATACTCGCTTATATACTCTTAACGTTACTTGACAAGTAAATTATGCAACCGTGTTACGTAACACAACAAATGAAAACACGATTTTGCTTGTCTTAAGTGGGCATTAGTATAAACATTGAAATGCTTTTAAATAACATAAAATATGTTAAATAAATTAAGACTTATTTTTTAATTTATGTAAGACAATTGAATCATATAAATTAATGAATAATGCAACACAATTAGTCTGTATTGCGTCGCCGTAGAAACGGCACGTGTCAATTGTTCTTAATAAACCAAGTGCAGGTAAATAGTAAAAAAAAAATACCAGTTGGCAATGAACGACCTATTTGTTTATTTGATCAAGTCTGGCCACTGAAAAGGTTCATCTGCTGTATTGTTTGTTTGTGTTTTTTTTTTGCTGTTACGTAAGTTCATTAAGTCCACGTACGTATATTTTTAGCATACAATGAATGCATGCGTTGGGTACGTTATTTCTGTAAATGTAGAGTAGAGAAAAATAGCAATTAGTTGCAATGGAAGACGTTGAAAGTCCATTTTTTTTACAAATATATTTTGATTAATTGATTATGTAAACATGACTTATACATATATATAATTAAATCTGTTAAACTGTATTATTTTCTTATTATCGAAGACATATTTTTGTTCTTATAAAATTGTTTGTAAATTCGTTTAGTCGATAAATTGAAGATTGATGATCAAATATTAAGTAGGAAACGTTTTTAATGTATAAATATTTGTCATGTAGAATGTTATCTATATTTTTTTGACATTGAAGTTTGTAAAGATATAATTCAATGTCAACAGCTACTGTTTGTTTTAGTTCAGAGATCATTAGTATGCTTTTATTTATGATTTATCATGGAGTGATTTGTCAACTTTTCTTGATATTTTTCGTGGATAAGTTCTCATTCAAACTGTGCGTCTGAGACACAACGAATCACAACTGCTTTGAACGTTCAAACAATACTTATTGGGCCACGAAAAAAAGGGAGTTTCGAACATTAGATAAGAGAGTAATAAAAACTTAGTTGCAGCTGCGAATCATGAGGCCGAATGCTAAACGACAAGCGGCTTTTTTCGTTCTTGACAATGTTATTGGTTCTATCGTTCGCAAAAACCATTGGTGGTTCATCACTAAACATTTTTTCATTGTAAACAGATATTTATTTTATAGAAATCTAAACCAATAGAGAAATGGCCACGAAATTTAGGGCGTTTCGTGTCAAATTTGTTGAGAATATAAGAAATATAAGTTATTTTAGAAATAATAAAAAAAACAAAACATTTTCTATAGTAAAATCACTTAACTAAGTATCATTAAAAATTGCATAAAGTGAATAATTTCTTGGTAATTAGGTGATTATTGCCCTTATTTGGGCAAGAAAACTTTAAACAATTGCGTCACTATGAATCATTTGCAGTTGCGCACATTTAAACTATCCTTATTTGGACATAAAAATTTGCGTTTCGCACACTCGATAAGTAATGAAAATTAGGCGATTGTTTTAAAAATCGCCTTATATGACGACGAAAACACGAATTGCCGCGAATCGTCACGAAGAATCAATTACAAACGATTGTAAAACCTAGTTCATTCAATATATTTTTCAAAGAAGTCCAAAGTGCTGGGAAAATTGTAGGTTCGAAGATACTGATTAAATAGTACGTTGTATTTTCTGTACAATAACAGATTGTTGATGTTTCTATTAAATAATATATATGAATAATAATTGTAAAATGTACAATGCGAAAGTGCAGGTATGAAAGGAATGTTTACGCATAAATGCATGGCTCAGTTTATTTAAACAAAACGAAAATTATATATTCGCGTCTCGCAAATGCAGCGAGTGAATGCAATGGAAGAAGCATAAATATAAGGAAGGTTATTGAATGTTATTCGAATGCTTCATAAAGAATAATTTTGTATTAAGATTTTAGTATTTTGTTAAATCTTTTCTGCTTAAATTTTTTGTTTCATTGATTAAGCAATAGGAATGTTGACGATTCATGATTTCTGTAGAAGTATATAACGTTACCTCGCATAGTGCGGGTAATCTGCTGTGGCCGGATCAATCGAGTATCATTTTGTGTGCTAATTAAAATTTAGTTTTTTTTTTGAAAATTTCAAACCGGACTGATTGAAGCCTAATTTGTATAATTTAATATGCAATTATTATGAAAAATCTGTAGTATTTTTGTTTGAAATTGGAAAACGTTTGAAATAAATTAATTTATTCGACGAGTCGACTAATTGAGAAAATGTGTAACAATTAAAATTTACAATGTTGTGTAAATATTTGCGTCGGCCATTTTGTTTGCACGGCTCTGTAGATTTAGCATTACAAATGAGAGGCGGCCAAAGTAAACACTTGCAAACCAATATCCTCCCTCCACCTCTTCGATCCTCTCCTTTTGTTATGCTTCCACGTACGTTTCAACCCCCATTTTTTTTGTTGTTGGTCTTGCTCTCTCACCAACCCCTATCTGTGTTTCATATTTAATTAATCTGTTCCATCTATTTGCGGTGTTTACACGCGAAATATTGACACGGTCATCCATCAAACGAAAAAAAAAAAACTATATATACCCGCACCAAATTTGTAACGCTCTTCCGGGTCCACGTTGTTTCGAACGTGTAATTGAAAATTACCATTTTCCTCAATCATCTTCACAGGCGTGAATTGGCCGTAATTAAACCTCATTCGAATTAAGTATTTTTTTATTGGCCACAATCACGATGATGGGAAATGTCATGATCATCATCTTAGAACAACTAAAAATAAATTATTTAT